CTTCTGCAGGATTTTGCTGTTTCTGGAATTCGTTTTGGTACCTTATATACAGAGAACCAAGATGTTGTTAATGCAGTGGCTTCTTTGTGTTATTTCCATGGGGTTTGTGGACCTGTCCAGCACAAGGTTGCACAGCTGCTTAGAGACAGAGGTGAGTCAGTACTCCATGTACAATCCTCTGCCATTCTGTGTGTCTTGGTACCTGGAAGATCTCCCCTCCCCTTATGTTCCCTGGTGATCTCCTCTTTGTACACCTTAATTGACAGTCTTCCGTTACCCTGAAGCTGCCCATGCAATGCAAGGCTGACAGCTCTGCAGAAAAGGACCATTTCTGCATAGCAGAAGTTAGAGGAGCATCTTGGAGGAAGTGTGGTAGCTATTTGTACAGAAATTTCCAGTGTTATCTAGAACCAGATGAGCAGAAATAAGGAATACAGGCTTGTGGAGCAAGGGAAATGGAAATGCCTTCTGACTCTGCCCAGGGTGGAATGCTAACAGTCCATGATGACTGAGAACTATAAATGTAGGGAAACTTCCTGAGGAAGGTCAAGGAGATACTCTTCTCCACAGACATGCAACTGCAAAATACCTCTTGGCTGTCTTTTTGTTATTTGAGGAAACAGAAAACAAAAGGAGGTGAAATGTGAAGCAGAAAAAGACACTGAGTGTTTTGGAAGCTTGAACAGATCTGAATACTTCCTCAGTTTGTGATTCTTTATCTTCTTCTGGGCAGACTGGATCAACCAGGTGTACCTGAGGGCCAACCATGCCCGCCTGAAAGCGGCCCATACGTATGTGACAGATGAGCTGAAGACGCTTGGGGTTCCTTTTCTCAACCGCAACGCAGGCTTCTTTGTCTGGATTGATTTCCGAAAGGTTGGTAGTCTTAGGAAGTGAGGCTTCTCCTGGAATTCGGGCAGGAATAAATCTGTCATCTGATGAGGAGAGGGAAGGACTGACAGATGTTTCAGTCTATTCTTTTCCTTTCGTCAGTCTGTGAACTTCCCTCCTTGCAGGAATCTTACTACTCTCAAGCCACTTCCCTACATTTATAG